AGCACAAAGCTAGCCTGGGATCCTTGCTGGAGGTGATGACAGAGGATCCAGCTCCCCTGCTGGGAGGCTCACCAAAATCTAACAGCCCTATAGCTTATTTTTAAGATATATATTTATATATTCTTTCATTTATATTGTGCATGAGTGCTTTGGAAGAGCTTGTCTCCACGTGTTACTAACGTGACTCCGTCTACTGCTAACGCGTGTATTGAGTGCATGTTGGGTGCATCTTCTGCATGTCATGCTCTGCCCAAACATCTTCCCCTTGTGAAGCCCAACACCAGTGAGTTGCCTGTACCCCTCTTTTCTTCTGCCCTTCGTTCTGTCCTCCAGGCACTGCACCTTCTGGCATCTCCACTTGGATGTCATCTTCCTTTAAAAAGCTTCTGCAGCCCATCCACGTCACTAGCTTGGCCGGGTACCTTGTGCTCAGAGGCGGAGGGAGGGAAATAAGCCCTCTGCCACACACTGTGTGTCTTTCTGCTTCACTCCACTGCTCTGCGTTGAGTTGCCAGCTTCTCTCGTCACGAGGAAAATCCAGGAAGTACCAATTAATGCTGAGAGACAACCTGTCCTAGAAATTGCATCACGGCTCCTCTCTGGAGCCGGGCCCTTGTCCGTCTTGTCTTGCTTCTTATCTGACCTGCTTGGACTTCAGGGAGAGACTTCTGGTTGGCACCTGAGGCTGGTGGTGCAGCCAAGTCCCACCTTTCTGGTAGGACCTTGCAAATAATGATAATAAGAATAATAATTAACATAGCCCTATGTATATAATTTATATTTATAATTAATATAGCCCTAGGAGTTCCTGTTTCAGAGAGCTGCATGAGGGAGAAGGAGAGGGATGTGGGCAGGAGGGGTGGAGGTCGAGCCCGGCCAGGTGTTGAGTGCAGACTCTGCTGTCCGAGCTCCAGCCTGGGATTGCTGAAGATCAGAAGGGAGGACTGGCTTTAGAGAACAACGACAGATATCCGCAGACTCCCCATATTCCATGGCTGGGTAACAACCTGATGTTCTCAGTATCTTTAGAGTACGCCTGTACAGCTAGTGCCACCAGATATTCTTGCAATAAGGACGGGCAGCAGAGTCTGCCCCTTGCCTGTGCCCTTTAACTAGTGCTGAAGCCATGACGGGAATCCTGCAGCAGCTGCTCTGTGGGTGTGGAAGGGAAGGAGTTAAAGCAGCAAAGTTGCCGGGAAATTGAATAAACTAGAAGCAGCGCTTGAACCTCCTGATGAGCAGCTGGGGCTGCCCAGCGCGGCGCGGTCGGAGGCAGGGAACAGAGCGGCAGTGTCTGCAGCTCCCGCCCGCCTCCCCTGACAGCGCTTTATAGAAAAGGATCCGGCTCGAGACACGAGCTCGGAGCCAGCGTAACCCGCAGCGCCTGCCGGCCGCACTGCTGTAAGTAGAGCCTGGTAACTTCTCATTGCCCCTTTCTCTCCTCCTCGGGTGGTTCCTACGTGGCATTCCTTCGGGTTGTGCAAGACCCAGATGTACAAGTAAGAAATCTTCACTTTTCAAATATGGTGCTTTTGACTTTTCCCTCTTGCACTTCTCTTGGGAGCTTTCCAGTTCTCTTAGGGCTTACCCCAAATATTTTGTGGTTCTTATTCAGCAGACGGGGACACCCGGATCCCGTCCTTGCTAGCAAAGCGCATGGTGGACAGACTCCAGCTACGTCTCAGGCAGGAGTCTGGAGGGCTTCAGTGCGGAGCCAGCCCT